ACTTCGTCATTGCTCACCCGATATCATCACCAGACGCGAGCAATGCTTCGAAGGTAATGGTGATCCAATACATACAACCGATTAGCATCGTCCCCTAGGAGAAGCCAAGTATTTTAACCGTAAAGCAGAACAATACGAAACGCTGTGATGTTCACCCTTACCTTCAAGGACAGTCACATATCATGACGCCGGCACAGGTGTCGCAGGTTGGCAAAAGCTGCTCTAGCTCTCGCTATTCGTGATGTGATATTCTCTATAACACCAACCGCAGCTGTGATCAATATCGTGAGTTACTTAAAGCTATCAGCTTCTTCCAGCTGATCACCAGAGATTGTAAGTGGTATTTGAACTTTGTTAAGTCCATTTGCGCACGAACTGATCGCTTAATAAATAACTTTACCAAATAACAGCTAAGCTGTTTTGTTAACAGATAAATACTGATTAATAAATATATATTTCTACTAACTTTTCTATCCAATGACTACGAAAATATACCGCCAAATTAAAGGAAGAGGGCCATGGTCATACAAAGGCTGCCTGTGGAAACATAGAAATGCCGAAGATGAGCGGCGGTGACGCAGTTTGAACTAAGGATCTCCAAATCGCTATTCTGATGGCCTTAACCACTGCCGTCGCCGATGGAGCAAGTCACTTCGGAAATCTCTAACCACAGCAATGTCAGGGAAAGCTTTCTCGAGACCCTATAAATAAGGTTACATTTCTAATAGGCAAAGAGCAAACACATTTTATAACCATGTTTACAAAGTTGGGCTACAGAACTGATTTATTTATCGAATGATGCGTCATGTCATGTTTTTTCGCGAGGTTCAGTTCAGTTTTTACAACCATTAACCATGCACTTTCGTGTACCGGTTTCCGTTGCTGTTTTTTGGTCGCCCGTTTGGATAAAAGAGCAGAATAAAGATTGGAATGTTTGGAGCAAATTCAAGCGGAAGATGGAGAATTCATATAGACTTATGTTAAGAGAATAATGAGCAGATGCATGAACGCCACTGTTTACGACACCCAACCATATCTCTGAGCGTCTCTAACTGTCGATGACCTTGATCTCGGGGTCACCATCCTCGGCAAACATCGCTCACCGTGGCAACCTATCTCGCGACATGCGTATCACATGCCCCAACCAACGTTATCTATGGAGATCGACTACTTGCTCCAGTGGACTACCATGACTGCCTAAAACTCTATACCTAACCTCAGCACTGCTTGTCCGGTTGTCCCACCAGACTCATGCAATACTGCGTAGACAGCGGTGTTCGAAAACCGACAGTTTATTTTTATCCTCTTCCCGTAGAGGCCAAGTCTCTGCACCGTAGAGAAGAACTGGCCGAACTGCTACAGCATACGATTGACCCTTCACAGACAGCCGGATGTCGCGACTGTGCCACGAATGTCATGAACTTCGGGCATTTTGGTGCTACCAAGCGATTTTAACGGTTGATCAAATTAGAGGAAATAGGTGATCAATGATATAATTCGTTTTGTGCTACGATTGCGCTTATGAATAAACCGTTGAATAATTGTATCAACAGTTGTTATCTGAAAAGATACTCGCACGGCGATTGCGTCAACTGTCAGAGTGTAAGCTTAATCTGAGTAGAGCGGCCGGCATGTCACACTCGACGATCAAAACAAGTCAAAAAATTACTTTATCACATCGTCAGAAGCTGGTTCAGCTGCCAAAAGATTTTAAAAAATGGACAGGCGATTAAACACACAAGGAATATGAATTTAACTCAATGCTGCGGATAAATCACGCATAATACGGTCTGACAGAGAAATAGAGAACGTGCAGGATAAGAAAGAAACGAG